CCCCGCCGTCAGCGGCGCTCCTCCACCCGGCTGACAGAGCTGCAAAAGAGCTCATTAAAATCAAGAAGCCCGGCATGGTTCCACCGCGGGAGCAGGAACTGATGCTGAGAGAAAAGTTCCACAAAACGGGATCCAGATCACGGTTGTTATTAAAACACCAGCATCTTACTGATCCGGATCAGAGGATCAGAGGATCAGAGGATCCGAAGTGGTGCAGGGTCTGAAGAAGTCTGGTCTGAGTCCAGGCTGCAGTGTGTGTGTGTGTGTGTGTGTGTGTGTGTGTGAGTGATTCATTGGTCAGTTCAGTTGAACTTTTAGGTGTTTTTTCTGACTGATTGTTTCTCCTCTCGTTGACATCAACAGTTGGTGGAAATAAAAATAAAAAAAAAACCACATTATTTATTAATGGTTAAAGTTAAAGTTCTGTTAGGCAACAGTTGCCTCTTGGATTAGAGGTAAAACGTCTTCTTTTAGAAAAATTCACGTCCAGTTGCCTTTTTTTTTTTTTGAACTTTTTGAACTTTTTGAACTTGACCCTGACCTGGAAGACTGAGAATCTTCATCGACATCATTTATTATTGTTATTATTTGATTATTATTTGTCTTCACTTCCAACACGAGCATTAATGAATACATTCCTGCAACAAAGTTCAAAAAAGAGCAGGTGAAAACAGTCGGAACAGGTTCATGTTGCCATGGTGTTCTGGTTGTTGGTCCACAGGACAGAGGTGACACAAACACACGGTTCTCTCTCTGTGTCGCGCTCTCTCACAAACACGAGCGCGCGCATCGATACAACACTTGACAGTGCACGTGTATCCTCGTGTTGTCATTCAGTGGGACAGTCGCTCAGCCACAGAGGACAGAGGACAGAGGACAGTCCAACAGGTCCTGCGGTGTCTGTGCTGTAACATTCTCGAGTCTGAGACCGTCCTCCGTCTCCCGGGTTCTCCTCTTCATCCAAGAACCTTCTCTATAGCTTCACATCATCGCATCCTTCTGTTTCGGCTGGGCTTTTTCGTTTTTTAGGTTTTGGCCCAACTCCGCCATCTAGTGGCATGTTAACTCATCTGCACGCAGATACATGACAAGTTCTTGTTGTGCCGATATAAATGTCGTTGGAGGAAAGTGAGGTTGTCGCTGGTATTATTACCACTATTATCGCTGGTCTTTACTCTTGTTACGTTGTTTATATTGGAGGTTGTGTTGTTGACAACATAACGTCATGTGACGTCACAGAGATGGTTTAAGATCGAAGACGTCTCACTCCATCTCTTAACGCGCACGTCAGACTGCGAACATTCAGTGGTTCAGTGGAGTGAAAACCAATTCTGCCTGTAATGACTAATGACTGAGTGACGTCACAGCAACTGTTTTCAGAATATATTCTGTTTCTTTGTACATTGTCCATATACTGTTAGTTTATATCCATTCTATCTTGTAAATATCTCCTGTTTTATATTCTTGCCGTTTCTCACCGTGGGTCAGAGAGAACTGCGGTTTCATTGTGTCACATGTCCTGGATCTGTGGCTTGTTTGACAGTAAAGTTGACGTTGACTGAAAACCGTCCATACTTTTTTATAACTAATTCATTATAAATGTCAGTGCTTATAAAAAATAAGAATATTTCGGGAGCCGGGATTGTTACGTACAGGGTGTTTGGTTGTTGTTGTCAGTCTCCTCCGACTGTTTTAGGCACGTGGCTGTTCTGATATTACATTCAGTTCGGATTGGACTCATTTCTAGTTTTCTTTTCACGATTGTTCATTTTATACTCAACCTTTTGGAAGTTCCACCGTTAGTTATCTGTGGATTTAAAGCTGTATTTATTGTAATAAAACTTGTCTTGTTACTGCCTCACGTTAATGCTGCCTCACTATAATAATAATCATAATAATCCATCCATCCATCCATCCATTTTCATCCGCTTATCCGTTACCGGGTCGCGGGGGCAGCAGCCTCCACCCAAATCACATTGCACCGTACCAAACCTTCCTGCAGGTGGTGAGTCCACTGGAAGGTACCAACCGCCCTAACCGGGATTCGAACTTGCCCAGGAGGTGAACCCTGGGGTTCCACACCAATGACAGAGACATTGCCTCTGGGCCAAAGCGCCACTAATCATAATAATAATTATGATTATTATTATTATTATTATAATTACCAACCCTTGAGTATCATTCGGCTGTGACTGACACACATTCCGGCCAACGTTGGAGTAACGTCAGCCCAGTTTCACAGAGTTACTCACCCAGAGATCCTCGGTGGTACTTCAGGGGTTTTGCGCCATCGAAACAGGATGTATGCGTCCACTTCCGGTGGTGATGTGTGGGCCGGGCTCTCCACCTCCAGTGAACGAGTGACCCATGATTTTAGACTATACGATCTTTGGCGGCGCTAGCTTGTTAGCTGCTAACTCTGAGAGACGCCATTACTTGGGTAAAACAGACGTCGCATTAGATTGAATATACATTTGTGTCAACATTAGGCTGAATTATATGACGTCGACCTGAAGATTTCGGTTTCACTCCTTCCGTGTAACGCTATTCTCGCGTCTACATTTGAAATTTTAGCCGTTTTCGCATTTTAATTTAGTCGGAAGTCGGATGTGAGCGACGCAGGACTTCAGTTCTGAAGGAGGTGTCAACGTTAGCATTAGCACAGTGAAGGCTTGTTTGTGATTTTGGACAAACGGCGATAAAAATTTAGTTTTTAAAAGTTTGATCTCGCAGCCATGGCGGCCGGAGGGGCGGGCAGCAACAAGACGTATTCGTTCAAGGTGGTGCTGCTGGGGGAAGGCTGTGTTGGGAAGACTTCGTTGGTGCTGCGATACTGCGAAAATAAATTCAACGACAAACACATCACGACTCTACAGGTAAGAGAACCGAGACGAACAGGCTGACAGAAACCCCTGTCCTACACTGTTGGCTTTTACTAGTTTACTGTAGCAGTTTCGGGTTTTTTTTTTCTTTTTTTTTTTTTTTTTTTTTTTTTTTTTGACGCTGTCACTCGGTTTCGGCCGCGTGATATGTGGCACTAATCGTTGTGAGTAAGCGGGGCTGAGGCTCAGGTGCTAGCCGCTTAATCAGCTGCGGAAACCGGGGCTGTTTGAGATAGAAAAGAAACGCACACTGTCGCTTGTCTACCAACAGAGGCGGAAGAAGAAGTTGGGAGTGGAGGCAGTTGTTACGGAAGAGTAAAAATACTCTGGTTCAGAGACCGATGTGACGATATTATTCCCTGATTATTATTCTTTCACTCAGTTGAACGTAGACATGGTGTGATTTTACAGACACACACTCGTCTGTGACGGTTGTTCGTCATGTTATGAAACCATCACAACAGTTGGTCACCAGATCTCCGGTGACCAGAGAAACATTTCTTCAGGTGGTGTTTCCATCGGAGCAGCCAGTGACGAATCAATAATGACTTCCACTCCATAATAAACCCTCTGAGCTCATCATCATCATCGTCATGGTGTGTTTGTGACTTGTTGCCAAAGTTGAGGGTGAACCTGCATTAGTTGACGCTCCCTTGGTTTCAACATGGGGGTAGTTTTCAGTGTTACCCCACAGTCAGCAGTGACGTCTGTGGGGTAACATACGTTGTAGTACTTTGTATTGAACAGTATTATATTGTAGTACTCTAAAGAATCTTGTATTATGGCATAGTACGCAGTATTAGTCTGTACCTGGTTGTATTAGTTTGTAGTTTGCAGTATTAGGTTGTATTGATCTGAGTGAGTGTCATTGTTGGTCACATGACTCATGATCGCTCCACGTTCTCTCCAGCTGTGATTGGCTGCTGCTGTGACCCGATGACCTCATCATGAGGCGTGGAGAACCGACCTTGTCAGTTCCATGTTCCTGCGTTAGATAAAAGATAAAAACAGGACGTGACGTTTATACTCACACCTTAATGTTGGGGGAGGCTCCGGGGGGGGGGAGGGGGCATCAGACGTGTGTTCCGTTTGTTCTGTTTCATTGGCTGATTGTGGTCCTGGGAGGTAACATTCCCGATGTTTGACACGTTTACCGTAATGACCTGAGTAGCTGCGAACCTCACTGTTGTCGGAGTTGAACTGAGAACAAACAGTGACGGTCGGAACCGTTCTCCCTCCACAGGCGTCCTTCCTGACAAAGAAGCTCAACATCGCAGGAAAGAGAGTGAACCTGGCCATATGGGTGAGTCGGACACGGACGAGAGTCTTCTCTGGGTTTGTGGTTAGGTGGCGCTAACACGGCTGATGTTTTTTCACGCAGGACACGGCAGGTCAGGAGAGATTCCACGCGTTAGGTCCCATCTACTACAGAGACTCGAACGGAGCGGTTCTAGTCTACGACATCACAGACGAAGATTCCTTCCAGAAGGTGGCGTCACAGTAGCTGTTACTGGAACTGCCAGGATGTTTCTCACAAACTTTTACTGAAGTCTGTTTCCTTTTTTTCCCTCAACACAGGTGAAAAACTGGGTGAAAGAGTTGAGAAAAATGTTGGGGAACGAGATTTGTTTATGTATAGTCGGTACGTTCTCACACTTACACAAAACAGCGCCCCCTGTGTTCTCGTGTTTTTAACAACCATGTGAAAATCTTTCTTTTATTCACTCAGGTAATAAGATCGATTTGGACAAAGACAGACACGTGTCTGTGGATGAGGCTGAGAGGTAAACAGCCGTGGGGTCATGTGACCACTGCCTTGTTGTCGACGGCTCCGCGTTCATCGTCTTTTTTCTTCTTCTCTCCACAGATACGCCGAGTCGGTGGGAGCCAAACACTATCACACATCAGCCAAATTAAACAAAGGCATCGAGGAGCTGTTCCTGGATCTGTGTAAAAGTAAGACTCAGTGGAGGCCAGTACTTCTCAAATAGTGGGGCGGGCCCCCCCAGGGGGGCACGGCGAGGTGCCAGGGGGCCGCTGGGGGCTCCCAATGTAATACGGCACGCTAGCGCTTAAATGAGCTAACGTCTGAGCTAACACCTGAGCTAACGCCTGAGCTAACGTCTGAGCTAACACCTGAGCTATCACCTGAGCTAACGTCTGAGCTAACACCTGAGCTAACACCTGAGCTAACACCTGAGCTAACACCTGAGTTAACACCTGAGCTAACGTCTGAGCTAACACCTGAGCTAACACCTGAGCTAACGTCTGATCTAACACCTGAGCTAACGTCTGAGCTAACGTCTGAGCTAACGTCTGAGCTAACACCTGAGCTATCACCTGAGCTAACGCCTGAGCTAACGCCTGAGCTAACGTCTGAGCTCTTTTTGAACCTTCTGTTTGATTCTGTCTCATGTAGGGATGATGGAGAACGCTCAGGCTGATGAGAGGTTGAAGGGCAATGGATCCAGCCAATCAGCTTCAAGTTGGCGGGGGGTACAGATTGTTGATGACGATCCACAGGCCACACCTGCTGGAGGCTGCTGCTCCTCTGGCTAACACACACACACACACACACGGTGTGCTCCTCCGTTGTCCCGTCTTCAGACCTGGTCGTTCCACCGAGGTTCACGGCTAATTTAGATACGATTCCATCCTCGTTTGGTGCCTGAAACGTATTATCTATGACTTTAGTTTCAAGAAACTCTACACCACTCACATTTTAGCACTTTATGAACAACAAAAGACGGAGCATCACTTTAATTATGTTCATATTTAAATACTTTAACAGTATTTAGAAATAAAATTCTAAGAAGAAATTCTCAGAGGTGATTTTGATCTTTCCTTTTTTTTTTTCAATATGACCCAATCATAACGACAAAAAATCTACTGGACTTTGTGGTAAAAGGCTCCACCTGCTGGACAAAATCTGTAATTCAAAACACCTGCATGTTGTGCTTTGGCCTCAGTACAAACGGTGTGTGTTTTTTTAATCATTTCAGCTGTTGTTTTGTTTTGTTCTCTCTCTCTCTCACTCTCTCTCTCTGTACTTACTGTGACTTTTGTTCCTGAACTGAAATAAATACATCTTTCTTCTGCCTTTGGGAGAGAAATGCTCACATTACGAAATGCTAATGCTATACTGCCCTCTACAGTCTGAAATCAGAAAATGAGTCCACAAAATGGAACAGGTCGAGGTTTGTTTTTTTAAAGAATGTTTTTAAAAACTGCCAAAAGTGTTTTGTAAAAATGATAAAAATATTATAAGAGTTTCCATCAGGCACACGCTCCTTGTCCTTGGTCATTTCTCCACCTGTAGGGGTCAGCAGTGAGAGGAATGTTCATCCTTGGTCACACCCTGCTCACACCACACCACGACAACAAAGGTGGAGCCATGCTGGAGAAGCTAACGTGGCTAGCTGCCGTGCTACAGCTAGCTGCCGTGCTACAGCTAGCCTCTCCACCTTTTCATTTTAGTTTGTAAACACGCTCCGTGGCTTCTCTTCTGGTTTTCTGACATCAGGTTAAGTTTTCCCAGTGTTAGTACAATAGAGAATAGTTGACGCAGCGCCACATACAGGCCTGGAGTATGTACTACAGGAACCGGAGTCATATTAGAATCAGTTTTCCTAAATTTCCCAAAGGGAACGCCCGAGGGATTAATAAATCCCTGTTAACGCTCCGTAACCGGAGGTCGTGGTGTTGATTTACTCCAATCTTCCAGAACACACACACACACACACACACACACACAGTTCAGGGACCATCTGATTTTACTGATTTCATCAACAATACCAACATACATGCAACAAAAGAGAAAAAAAATAGAGCTGAGCCTCAGGTCAGACCTAAAACAACGATCCCAGATACATCCATCGTTTGTGGCTTTTTGTCTTTAAAAGATAAAAAACGATCTTTAATTCCAGGACCCTCTGACCTCAGGATTTCATTGACCCTCATTAATATTAACGAAGACCAGGACGGCCCTGTTTTTCCTACATAAGTAAAAAAGAAGAAAGTCTGGCACATATTTGAAGTGGACGTCAGACCCTGGTCACTGCAGGACCGACTCACGGGGTTGGGTCTAGTAGCCTGGAGGATTGATCAGCTCCTCGTACTTGGGTGGAGAAGAGGTGAAGATGGTGGGCACCGTCATGACGATGGTGGTGGTGTTGGACCAGCGCATCTGGTGGATCATGATGGACGACATGATTATGGCCAGGACCTGGAGGTGAACACAGGAAGTGCAGTTTGATCATGTGACCTTGTCTAACGACAAAAAATCTACTGGACTTTGTGGTAAAAGGCTCCACCTGCTGGACAAAATCTGTAATTCAAAACACCTGCATGTTGTGCTTTGGCCTCAGTACAAACGGTGTGTGTTTTTTTAATCATTTCAGCTGTTGTTTTGTTTTGTTCTCTCTCTCTCTCACTCTCTCTCTGTACTTACTGTGACTTTTGTTCCTGAACTGAAATAAATACATCTTTCTTCTGCCTTTGGGAGAGAAATGCTCACATTACGAAATGCTAATGCTATACTGCCCTCTACAGTCTGAAATCAGAAAATGAGTCCACAAAATGGAACAGGTCGAGGTTTGTTTTTTTAAAGAATGTTTTTAAAAACTGCCAAAAGTGTTTTGTAAAAATGATAAAAATATTATAAGAGTTTCCATCAGGCACACGCTCCTTGTCCTTGGTCATTTCTCCACCTGTAGGGGTCAGCAGTGAGAGGAATGTTCATCCTTGGTCACACCCTGCTCACACCACACCACGACAACAAAGGTGGAGCCATGCTGGAGAAGCTAACGTGGCTAGCTGCCGTGCTACAGCTAGCTGCCGTGCTACAGCTAGCCTCTCCACCTTTTCATCTTAGTTTGTAAACACGCTCCGTGGCTTCTCTTCTGGTTTTCTGACATCAGGTTAAGTTTTCCCAGTGTTAGTACAATAGAGAATAGTTGACGCAGCGCCACATACAGGCCTGGAGTATGTACTACAGGAACCGGAGTCATATTAGAATCAGTTTTCCTAAATTTCCCAAAGGGAACGCCCGAGGGATTAATAAATCCCTGTTAACGCTCCGTAACCGGAGGTCGTGGTGTTGATTTACTCCAATCTTCCAGAACACACACACACACACACACACACACACACACAGTTCAGGGACCATCTGATTTTACTGATTTCATCAACAATACCAACATACATGCAACAAAAGAGAAAAAAAATAGAGCTGAGCCTCAGGTCAGACCTAAAACAACGATCCCAGATACATCCATCGTTTGTGGCTTTTTGTCTTTAAAAGATAAAAAACGATCTTTAATTCCAGGACCCTCTGACCTCAGGATTTCATTGACCCTCATTAATATTAACGAAGACCAGGACGGCCCTGTTTTTCCTACATAAGTAAAAAAGAAGAAAGTCTGGCACATATTTGAAGTGGACGTCAGACCCTGGTCACTGCAGGACCGACTCACGGGGTTGGGTCTAGTAGCCTGGAGGATTGATCAGCTCCTCGTACTTGGGTGGAGAAGAGGTGAAGATGGTGGGCACCGTCATGACGATGGTGGTGGTGTTGGACCAGCGCATCTGGTGGATCATGATGGACGACATGATTATGGCCAGGACCTGGAGGTGAACACAGGAAGTGCAGTTTGATCATGTGACCTTGTCTGAAGCTCATCGTGCGATCGATGCTAAATGCTAAAGTAAGAATCGTACCCCCAGCACGGCCAACGTGACGGTGATGCCGCAGACGATGTCGACTACAAGCAGGAAGTAGTTCATGATGATGGGGAAGCAGGGCTGAGGGTGGAGGGAAACTCACGTCAACAGGTTGACCAACAGGTTGACTAACAGGTTGACCAACAGGTTGACCAACAGTTGACCAACAGGTTGACCAACAGGTTGACTAACAGGTTGACCACTAGGTTGACCAACAGGTTGACTAACAGGTTGACCACTAGGTTGACCAACAGGTTGACTAACAGGTTGACCAACAGGTTGACCAACAGTTGACCAACAGGTTGACCAACAGGTTGACTAACAGGTTGACCAACAGGATGCTCATCAGGTTGACCAACAGGCTGACCAACAGACTAAGCAACAGGTTGACCAACAGGTTGCCCAACAGGTTGCCCAACAGGTTGCCCAACAGGTTGCCCATGGTTTCCTCACCTTGGCGTAGATGGTCTTTCTTTCTGGCATGAACATGAACTGAAGAGGAAAAACAAAAGTCTACGTTAACATTCTTCTCTTCTTCTCTGCTGGTATGTTTCAAAGACGTTGTCAGTTGCCAGGTACCGACCTGTCTGTTGGTGACGTCCACACACAGACCTTCTTCTGCTGCCTCTTCAGGGCTGCACTCGCACGACTGTGGGATGTCGCTCTGCCAGTCGGTGTAGCTGAACAGACCACAGCACTGCAGCTGGACCACAGAAAAACACAGGTGTCACGCCCCCTCTGGACATACCAGGTACTACCACTGCTACCTTAACCTTCAACAGTGAACCCTAATCCTTATGGGAATCATATCCCCACGTGTACATCTAGAGGGAGCCCACGTAGCATCGGTACCACAGTCTGAGAAGCAGTGACCCAGATGACTTAGGAGCCAATCAGATGCCACGGCCCCCGGCCCTTCACTCTGTGGGTCGTGGACTGACTTCAGCCAATCACGTGATGTCGTGGTCTTACCTCTGACTGCTCAGTGTCCATCATTTCCTTCACGTTCTCTGCGGCCGTGTTCAGAGGCAGCAGTTTGTGGTAGTCGTCCTCCAGGGCTGACACTACCTACACACACACACACACACACACACACACACACACACACACACAGACAGAGAGAAAGGGTTGTGTGTGTGTGTGTGTGTGTTGGTCTGGTTTCTAACAGCATCAGTTCCATACAGACCTCAGGTTGAAGACTGTAGAAATAGAGTCCAAATCTGAACGTTGCCACAGTACCTATCACCACACACACCAGGAACTACACGCACACACACACACACACACACACACACCTCATCAACAACAGAAGAGAGAAAACACTGCACCATCTCCCATTGATCTGCTCTGATTAAACTGGTTAAACTGGTTAAACTGGTTAAACTGGTTAAACTGGTTAAACTGGTCAAACTGGTCAAACAACAGGAAGTGGACAGAGTTCCCCTGGAGACTGAACACTGTTGGCGTCTGTGGAACACGTTCTGTTTCAACACCTGAACGCTTCTTAGGAGCACACTGCCACCTACTGGACTAGAGTGTGTAGTGTCATGGTGTGACCAGTGACTCCTTACACCTTATTGGACCAGACTTTTATTACCATAAACTGAATTCACCCCCCCTGCCCCCCCCCCACTCACTGCGATCAGAACTCCTCTTCTCTCCCTGTGACCTCCAAACGCCCCCAGGCTGGCGAGGACCAGAGTGCAGACGCCCAGGATGTAGAAGAAGATGAAGCCGAAGAGATGAGCCTCCACCTGTGACAACAGCCATTTTGAGTCTCCATCTTGTCAGGCTCCTGTGGGGCAGGGTTGGTTTGTTTTTACTCACCTTGTCTCCCGCTTGTTTGCTGGTGTAGATCTGAGCCAGACATGTGAGCAGGATGACGAGTCCACCCACCACCTGCAAGGAAGCCACACAATCATAACCTTCCATCTTTTCTTACGATGGCAACGACGCCCCCTTCAGGTCACATTCCAGGGCACGCCAGAATCTTCAAGTCAATTGAAGTTGAAAGACGACTTTTGGTTCAGTTGTACCAATGTTTAAGGACATTATCTTGTCCAATCATTACCGTGTCAAGAGTTCACGTTAACATCCACTCGAATCATCGAAATGTGATTTAAACAAATTAAAATCTGCTTTTTGAAGTCTTTAAATGTTGTTAAATACGAACTTGAGAAGATAAAACTTCAAATCTGGTTGTACATCAACTCCTATAAAAACTACGCACTTTAAATTCCCCCACATCCTGGAGGCGGCGTCAGCGCCACCTGAACTCACCGCCAAGAAGACGTTGAAGGTGATGAAGGTGCGTTTGATGCAGGTGTTAATCTGAGCCATGTTTCCACACACGACGCAAATAAAAAGAAACTATAACAACAGGGTCTTTTACTGCTTTTACTTTTACCGCGGACGACGCAGCTTTGACCGGATGAACAACCGAGTGAACCTGAGGAGAGGAGGCTGTTTTTAAACACGGAAAAGTACAGGAGAACAGGGAGAGGCGGGACGTCGAGGTAGAAGCCTCGTCATTTCATGGAAGGCTCCGCCCACTGGCCATATAAACGCCCACCACAGATGTCAGTGAGGGGGTTTCCATGGAACAATCACATTGTACATAAACAAAAGGGGGGGGGGGGGGTGTACGAATGAAACAAACTACCACTAGCCGTTAGCTCAACCATCACTGTTAGCAACACTGCGATTTAAGAAGCTTAAAAAGTTCGAGTTCTCTTTGACTTCATTTAGAAAAGGCAACTTCGGTGCTCACTGCTGCTTCCAGGAATGTGTGTGTGTGTGTGTGTGTGTGACTGGGCCTAGTGAGTTCCACACTCTACAACAATTTAGGAGTGAAGGAGAAGTTCCGACAGCCATTGAACGTCTCAGTGGTTTTAGCCTAATCCTAAGCGCTTTTCAAGGAAGTGGGAGGTTTTGGGTTTTTGTGATTTTGAAATATCCAAACTGCCTATAAAACTTTTCAGATTTCACCAACAGGTTCTTCTAAATTGGAAAATGATGTTCCACTGTGGAACAGTAGGGGGAGTCGGGGGAGAACGCTGTACAACATCCCTGACCTGAATGGTTTTAATGTTAAATATGGAACCAGTTGCTCCGATAGAATGTATAGGAAAATATTACAAAATAACCCAAAGTCCTTATCCAACCGACACAGAATCATTTCTCCAACATTCCAACTCCAGATTTACATAAAGTCCAGATTAATGGTCTGAACCTGAAGGCAGCAGTTCGTAAACACCAGATAGTCCAGGTTTAACAGAGTTCTCTGAAAACACTTCAAATTCCCGATTCCTTCAAAGTGGAAAGATGTTCACTTTAATTGATTGTTTTTTTAAATTATTATTCTTTACTTTATGCTCTGTTTATTTTCACTTCATCTGTATATAATTGTTATTTGGTTCTTCTTCTTCTTCCTCCGACTTTTCCTTTTTTCAACTTTTTTCAGTAGTTGCTCCAGTGAAGCATTGATTTCCATCTCTCCCTGTTCTCTGCATCTCCTCCTCTGACTCCAACTATCTGCATGTCCTGCCTCACTGCCTTCATATATCTCCTCTCTTTCTCCTACCTGGTAGCTCCATCTCTAACATTCTTCTACCAATGTCTCCACTGTCCCTCCTCTGGACATATCCCACCCATATCAATCTGGCTTCTCTGTCTTTGTCTCCTGACCTTCCTGTCTGTGTTGTCCCTCTAATGACCTCATTCCTGATCCTGTCCATTCTTGTCACTCCTAAAGACAATCTTAGCATCTTTAACTCACCTCCAGCTCCACCTCTGCTCCAGCTCCAGCTCCACCTCCAGCTCCACCTCTGCTCCAGCTCCACCTCTGCTCCAGCTCCACCTCCAGCTCTGCTCCTTGTAGCCTCGCTATTTCACTCTTCTTTCACTCTTCTGTCTTTCCTTTACACTTGTACTCTGTCTTGCTGCGACTGACCTTCATTCCTCTTCTTTCTAATTGTTATTTGGTTGTAATGTAATATACACCTGGATAATGACTCACTCCCGCACGAACAACCACAGACATTTGAGAGGACAGCCGAGGGCCAGTGTGTGTTAGCTTAGCTTAGCTTAGCTTAGCCTGAGTCAAGCTAAAAAGAAATGAAGCGATTTCATCTTTGGATTTAATCCAGGTTCCTGTTTGTCTCCACGCCCGGACCTGTGGTGGGCTGGATGAGTGAATGACACGAAACCAACCAGCAGATGGCAGTGTAATAATTAAATAAGATGTAAGCTGAAACGGATCAACCTCAAAGAAGACTCGACGTCGTGACGTCCTAACGAACCCAAAGACAGGCAGGAAATCCAAACACATCTACAGAGTTCAGAGCCGAGTTACCGCGGACCAATGGTCACGTGACTCAGACATATAACGTGTTACCATAGGCAGTGACGTCGTTTCCTTTCAGCTAGGTTTCGTTTTTACAGCGACCGATGGATTTGTAGACACGGACATGGAAGTTGCTGTGAAAGGTTGGTAGAAACAGACCGAAGCACAGACTGACCACAGACTGACCACATGACAGGGTGTCCGCGGTGACCAATGTTGATTTGTTGACCACGGGACTCACTGCCTTTCACTGCCTTAGACTCGTGACGTGTTTCTGACGTTCCAACCAAATAACAATTATATACAGATGTAAAATAAAGTAGAGCATAAAGACCAGTGACTACAAACAGCACCAGTGCACAGTTGAACTGTGGGGACACGTCCTGTCCCTCAGTTTGGGGGGGTCAGAGGGTAGCAGGTTAGGGAGTGACAGATGGTTCTAGGTTTACTGTTACCTATGGTAACCACGGTAACAACACTTTGTCCCGGTGTGTGTGATGTACAAGGAAAGGCTAAAAGGAGACATCTGAGCGCAGACGAGTGTCAACACCTGGGTCACGGCTCCCTCACAGAGCCGCACGTCTTCAACCAGAGGCCGGGGAACAGTGACCGCCACAGGAGGCACCTCCCCAGGACGGCCCCCAAGAAACACAAGTGTGGTAATGTCTACAGTCAGACGACAGTCAGACTACAGTCAGACCACAGTCAGATCCCTCCACTCTAACATGATTTCATCTCATTGACGTCAGAGCCTCAGTTACTCCATCACGTTCAGGAGGAGGAGGAGGAGGAGGAGGAGGAGGATTCCACTCTGTTCACTGCTGCAATGGAGTTAGGAGCTGAAGAGGAGGAGGAGGAGGAGGAGGGGGAGGGGGAGGCAGAGGGGACAGTGGACTACCTGCAGGGAATGACATCCAGGATGTTTGATGAAGATTTTGACTGTTGTGAAACTAAGGAGGAGGAGGTGGAGGAGGAGGTGGAGCCCCTTCCTGACGCCCACTACGGGCTCCTGGGCCCCAGCAGGACGCTGCTTCAGCCCCGGGCCTGTATTGATGACCTTCCAGAGGAAGTTCTCAGGCAGATCCTGGCTCTACTTCCTGCCCAGGATCTGTACGGAGGCGTCGCGCTGACGTGTCATCGGTGGAGGGAGATCATGGAGGATACCAAGGTGAGAGGACGGGGTTAGAACCACACACACACACACATGTACACGTTCATGTTCATGTTGGTCAGGGTTACTGACCATATAAACTTTATCAGATGACCAGGGTAAAAGATGAAGTACAGTCAGAACCGTTCACACAAAAAAACACTTTGAAATCATTCAATCAAACCAACACCAGCCAGTATATGAGACATTAGTGCTAACAGTGCTAACTGAGCTAACAGTGCTAACTGAGCTAACAGTGCTAACTGAGCTAACAGTGCTAACTGAGCTAACAGTGCTAACTGAGCTACCTGACAGTTATAATTGTTTTTAATTATTTACTGAGTTACAGTGAAATGAAGTAGTACTGAGTGAATACTACAGTGTTTTGCCGTGGTACAGTTTGTTCCTTTCAGGAAACAGTACTACCGCTACATGAAGAGAGAACGTGGAACCGTTGAAGAGTTGACCTCCATCCTGAAGAACAGTGACATCACAGGTCCAAAGTCTTCAGAGCACAGCATCAGGAACCTTGTTGTGTATGTACCTGACACCCCCCCCACACCCCCCTGTGTGTACTGGTGTGTGTACTGGTGTGTGTACTGGTGTGTGTACTGGTGTGTGTACTGGTGTGTGTACTGGTGTGTGTACTGGTGTGTGTACTGGTGTGTGTACTGGTGTGTGTACTGGTGTGTGTACTGGTGTGTGTACTGGTGTGTGTACTGGTGTGTGTACTGGTGTGTGTACTGGTGTGTGTACTGGTGTGTGTACTGGTGTGTGTACTGGTGTGTGTACTGGTGTGTGTACTGGTGTGTGTACTGGTGTGTGTACTGGTGTGTGTACTGGTGTGTGTACTGGTGTGTGTACTGGTGTGTGTACTGGTGTGTGTACTGGTGTGTACTCAGGTTCATGGCTCAGCACACAGTGGGGGAGAGGGTGAGGCCTGAAGACGTCCTCCACTGGGTGAGGAGACACCGTCTGTCCCCCCAGGCTGAGTTCTCCGTCAGATCACGACTCCCAGACGTTCAGGAGGAGCTGGAGGTAAGACTCACCCTCTCTCACCCTCTCTCACCCTCTCTCACCCTCTCTCACCCTCTCTCACCCTCTCTCACTGAGCTGGTCTCCCCCGATGTCTGACCTTTTTGTAGTTCTAAGTTTCTGCTGTAGTGGACAGGAAGTTCCCTCCACTGTAACAGGAAGTGAACTGATATACCCCCCCCCTCCTCCTCCCCCCCAGACTCCATTGGCAGTCATGGCAGTAATTCTGGTCTTGAGTGAGGGAGTGGGAGACGTCCAGGCCCTGGTGTCTCTCCTCACCCGCTGCATGTCCCTGACTGCAGTCACAGAGTTCCTCAGTCACATGGCCACCATCCTGCTGGCTATGGAGAGGAACGCAGTCCACATCAGTACCAGGTACCAAGAACCAAGAGTTCCAAGAGGTTGACTGTGTTGACTCCAGTCCCCTCTGTCTGACTGACTGTCTGTCTGTCTGACTGACCGACTGTCTGACTGTCTGTCTGACTGTCTGTCTGTCTGTCTGACTGACTGACTGTCTGACTGTCTGACTGACTGACTGACTGACTGACTGACTGTCTGTCTGTCTGTCTGTCTGACTGTCTGTCTGTCTGTCTGTCTGACTGACCGACTGTCTGACTGTCTGTCTGGCTGACTATCCGTCTGTCTGTCTGACTGTCTGTCTGACACAGGTTGCATTACAACATCTACTACGTTCTGCAGCTGATGGAGAATGGTCCAGGTCATGTCAGTTCCAGGTCCAGTTCCAGGTCCAGTTCCAGGTCCAGTTCGTAAGATCCAAAATGAATACTTCAGTTCAGTTAGATATAAAACTGCAGGGTTGAGGGTTTGATCCCAGACTTCAGTCGGACCATTGTTCTGGTGTGTGTGTGTGTGTGTGTGTGTGTGTGTACAGTCACCAGCTCACAGCTGAACAGCAGCTCATCCTCAACCACAACATCCAGAACGACCATGTGGTCAAGATCAAAGCATTTGCAGGTACGACAGGTCAAAGGGGTCGGTCGGCATGAGGGGTGTGTGTGTGTGTGTGTGTGTGTGTGTGTGTGTGTGTGTGTGTTGGGACTCACCCCTGAACGTCCCTCAGTTTGTGGTGTCTGTTGCAGGGACAGGGAAGACCACCACTCTGGTCAAGTATGCAGAACAGCGCCCCCACCTTCGCTTTCTCTACGTAGCCTTCAATAAGTCCGTGGCCAATGAGGCGCGGCGCCGTTTCCCCGGCAACGTGGACTGCAGGACGGTCCACTCCTTGGCCTTCAGGGACACTGGTCAGAGGTGGAGTCAGGATTATTTCTACCTTCACTCCCAATAAAACTCACGTGTCTAATGATTGGTGGAACATAAGACTTTAACCCCACCCCCTC